AAACTTTACTATTCATTAAAACGTATGGATTTGTAATATAATTGGAAAATTAAAATAGGCACTAACATCTTGAAATCAGTTTATTTGCATGTATTTTCATGAACTATGAGGCTAAAAGGAAAATTTTCTTTAAGTGGATCTATCCCTAACAATTATTTTAAAGGAGGGAATTTTTAAGTCTAGGTCAACAAATTTGTATTTGAGGGTTGGAACTAATGCTACAGCTTCAACTTTAAGCTAAAGCTCCATTGGAGTGGGGATGATCAAAGGTGAGACAGATGAAAACATGGAATACAATTCTATCCACTGCAGTGACAATTAGGAAACACTGACATCAAAATGACATAATTAATCCATTTTTTCCATAATTAATCCATTCCCTTTCTCCCTTTTTTCTTCCCTCCCAAGAGAATTATTTTCAATCTTCTCATTCTACTATCCTCAGAAATTACAAAAACTTCAAAATTTCTCAAGGCAGCCTTTGGAAGGGGTCCTCTTTTCTGTATCCCCAATCAAAAGCTAGCCCCTGAGCACCATGAAAAGGTACAAACCTCCTTAGAAGGTTGTGTGGGAGGGGTCATCTGGCGCAGCAGTCCATCGATGCGCACCTGCGGCTGCTGATGAATATTCCCACCAATCACCATTGGTGTGGTGGAGACTGGTGTACCATGAGTGATGGAACCAGCTTTACTCCCCACTGGTGGAAGCTTTGGAGACAGTTTTGATGATGGCATTGGGGGTGCAGGGACCTACAAGCATCACAAGCAGCAAAACAGATTAGTAATGCTCCAGATCAGCAATATGACTATACTTTTGAGAGATCTTGCATTCACACTACTCACTTCAGAAAAAAAAAAATTAAAACCATTACTTATACATGTAATTTACAGTTAGCTTTTGAATATGCAAAACAAATAAAACATCAAATCACAAATTAAGAACTCCAATTTCATAAACTTGAATACATTAGAATTTCTCAAATCATCACTATGACTGCAAACTTTCTGCCATGCAGGAGATAACCCAAAAATAACATCTACAAGAAAATGTTCTTCAAAATATTAATACAAAAAATAACAGTGCAGAAAACAATAAATACAATGAGTAGGACAAGTACGGTCTTCCTAATTAACAATTACATGTAAGGGCAAAATATAGAAATGACAATATGACTAAAAAATATCTTCGTACTTTCTTTAGGATTGGTATGAATTCATTTAATATAATCTTTGGTTATGAACAGGAAAATAGATTAAGGTGTATAAAGAAATGTAATCTACAAAAATTTCAATTTTTCATGCATCAGAAACACACAGATTGAACTCCAAATAGCATTAATAATATGAGAGAAATACACAAAAACAAACAAAACAATTATCAATAAAAAAAAAAAGTAGGAAATTAGTTATTCAGCGGATGACTTCCATTTTGCAAATCAGCTAAAAATAAATTTCAGCAAACAGTGCTATAAACCAAAAACAAATCACAAATTTCTGCGTACTATGTATATAAGAAAGTAATGTGCATCAAACGGTAAATAGATTTGCAAGTATTCTAACACACCTTCGTCACTTTCGCAGGTTGCATTGAAGGCTGTGTTCTTGTCACTGATGTTTGCTGATTTAGAACAAGGTGGGGAGTAGGACCAGTTGGACCACTACGATTATCTGTATGCTGCTGTAGATACACAGGTCCTTTAGATACAGGGCGCAACTGTTCCGAAGACACTACAACCTGCAAAAATTATATTCGTACATTATTACTATGATTGAAGGGGTGACCCAATGATTAATATTTTATAACACTAATTTTCAACCTCGGACTCGTCTTCAACAATGAAACTGTATTAAACAAAGCACATATATAGCTGGTTTTCTCATGATTCGCCCATTTCAACTTTTCATTACTAAAGTAAATGATTACCTGCTGAGAATAATAATTCGCAGGTCCTGACTCTGTTCGATAGACTGCCGTCAGAGTGGCAGGAGGCACTGGCGGTTGGTGCCCAGCATGTGAATGGTGGACTTTTGAATGGGCGGGAGGTGGGACGGTGTGCAAAGTGGTATGGGGAGAGACTCCAAGACCAGAAGGTGAATCACGTGCAGAGTGTCCATGCGTAATATGTGCTGGGCTCGGAGCTGGGCTGCATTCACGTGGCTTCTTGATAGATAAGTCAAGGGTTTCAGGCTCAGGCTCACGGTTCTCTCTCATTGCCTGCTGCACCTAAACACAGAACGACAAAATACAT